CTCTAAAAATTTCCTTCTCTGACTATCCTATTTCCCCACCCTAAAAAAACTCTATAACCACCGTTTTTGCAGGACAAATGCTGGGACTAGGGGTATATGAGTGGGGCTACATAAGCTACTTTTGCCAATTTTTTTGAACGCACTCTTTTGATTGTGTAACCTCACCCGTACGATCCTTGTTATCATCGCTCCCGTTTTACGGTCAGACCTATCATTTTTTTCCTGAGTTGGGTGCTATACTGCGTTTTTGCTGCTCAAAATTATGTTTTATGAACGCGACCATTTTCTTTTATAAAGAAAAGTGGCACGCTTTCGGCCATTAAATGTTCAGAGGTAGAAATCCGTTGGTTCGGGTTCAGACTTTGGCCTTTCCCGTGGAGACGGGTGTACAGTGAAGTACCTATCTGATAAAATCTAAGGATTTCTACGAAAAAGGGTTCACTTTGCGTCCCCCAAAGCCTTATGGCAATAAAACAATGGTCGTTCTTCATAATTGAGCATATTCCGATTTATATACTACTATTAAGTTTTTTTAGGAAGGCCAGTTTTTAGAAAAGCGGGAAATTCTGAAAAACTACAAATCGGGCGTACTAGGTAAAGTTAAGTTCTAAATGTAGAGAAAGCACGTTCATACAAAATAAACGAGTGAATAAAGCAGCACAAGTAAATTTACGTTGGAAAATATTTATTTCAAAAAATTTTCGGATACATATGTTTCCATTTTCAGTACGGTGTAACGTATGGTCGTCACCGAACAGCCCAAAGTTCGAGTATGTATTCAAACACGGTTTCACGAGAATTGTTAGCTGTTTCTTCCGTTCATACATGGCTTGAGCTACGCTGGACTAAGGCAACCATATTTTCGCTTGAATGCATGGATTTGGAGGTCACAGGAGTAAGCTATTTCGTAAGCTTTCGTGCGGACATGTCGTTCAATGACAAATGAATTTAACCGGAATTGTCAAGTACAATCGGAAACGTACCCTTTTGTGAACAATTAAATTTCGATCTTCCTATTTCATCAGTTTGGCAAGTTACTGTATACTGGTGGAGACAGAGTTTCTGCCAGGCTCGCAGTGTCTAGAAAATCACAACGAACTTCTCTAAACGGATTATTGCCCGTGCCTTTTTTTTAGAAACGAAGCCTCACGAATTCGATTCCCAACGCCTACAATGACAAAGATGACTCGCTAGCCAGTTCTGACGGAAAAAAGCGGTGTCGAAAACTTTCGTCCGAACAAGTTAGCCCTACCAGTGACACCGAAGTGGTCAACGGAAGGATCAGGGATTATTTGCGTGACAGCTTCTCTCCCACCGCCTCCTCTCTGCAGACATCGCAACCCAAGTACTTCAATTTACAGACGTCGAACCCCTTACCCATGTCTCAGACGTTTGCTTCTTCTCCTCGTCCAACAGGAGGGACCGAAAATCCAAACTACAATCCCCAACAAGAAAAGCAGCAGCAGCACCAACAGTCACGTGGAGGTTTTCTAAACGCAAAGTTCTTCTCTGGTCTCAAACCACCCTTCAACTTTTCTGCCAGTCCAGAAGAGGAGACTGAACAGGAGGAGGCCGGAATCGTTGGTCCGGAGCTTCTTGTGGCTGCCTACAATGTGAGCTTTCCCCCATTTTTTTCCGGACTTTCATGTGGCCGAATATTTTGCCAGCCCTGTTTGCTCTCCTCCAGGAGACAGGAGAAAGTCAATATATACTTAAAAGAGCATCCTTGCTATCATCCAACAACAGTGGGTTGTTCCATGACTGGTTTATTAATTAGGTGATTTCAACATTGCGTACAATGAACCAGGGAATTTGTTTTGACTAAACCGACTTCCTAAATCCTCCAGTTTTGTCCACAGAAAAAATTAGCTTCAACGAAGCCTTTGCGCCACCAAGGTTCAGGACCAGGCTGGCACGCGCTTACCCACAGCATGAGCCCAAAATTAATAATCATTAAGTTCTACTCCTGAGGCATGTCTTCAAGCCTACTCATTTCATTCGGTATTTTGGCTATCTATCAAACTCATCCGCAATCATTTTTAGGATCACTAAGTTCATCGGTTATGAAAACAAACTGATTTTCTGGAAAGAATAGAAAGCATTGCATTTTATAAACACTTGTGCAAAATCGCTTATTATTACTAAATAGCGTTTGAAAACCCTGACTTTTTAAAAAAATAACATAGTAATGGCGAATGGCGGGCTTTCTGCTATGCTTCTAAACTTTCCAGTTTGCACTACATATAGAAGCTGGCCCAACTGATGAGATCCAAGGATTTTTACAAGAAAATCCCTCGGAAGCAAAATCAGTCCTGGCTGCTGCTGTAACGGTAGCCAAGGCTGAGATGTCACCGCCTAATTACGTCTTGCGTGAGACCCCAAGGAAGAACACGACAAGGAGAGTGCAACAGCGGAAGTCTTTGGGTGTAAAAGGTACAACATATTTAGGGCAAAAAACGAGTATAAGCTAGGTCCATCGAGCCAATCAGCTTCTGTCCTGGCTTGGCTAGTGGCGCGATTGGCTGGTGACACGACGGCTGACTGTAGCTTGAATTTTAAAATATTGATTAATTGATGGCGAGTATGCTTTCGCCTTGTGTAGGCCGATCGATAGCCTGCTGTGAGTACGGCTGCTTGCTGCATGCTATCTGCCCGTTAGGCGCCTCCCAACAGCTGCCTTCCCCAAAGTTTTACAGTAGAAAATCGAACATCCTAATAAAAAGAATGCATATTGTGGCTCGTCAAGCAATATTATCTGGTAAAGTAAAAGTCGTTTTTAGAAAAAAAGCACAAAATTCCGAAAAAGTGAAAAATGGGGCTGCTAGGAAAACTTAAGTTTTAAATGTAGAGGTACATAGTCTGTTCATACAAAAAAACCAAGTGAATAAAGCAGCACAAGAAGAGTTGCACTTAACAATAGTGCACTGGTTACATTTTCGAACAATTATGCTGCCACATTGCGCGTAATGTAAAGCATCGTATATTGCGGAGTCAGAACAGCACTAAAACGCAGAGAGCACATGACACACAAACATTTTCAGTTGTTTTCTTATTCCTATTTTCCTGGCGATACGTTGGACTAATTCAACCAGATTGTCAATTGATTGTGCCCATTGGGACGTCACAAGAGTAAGGTATTTCGTAAGCTCACAGGTGGCATGCCGTTCAGTGACTAATGAATTTAAATTGAATTGTTAGGTGCAATCGTAAACGTACCATCTTGTGTACATTGAGAGAAAGTTTCCTTCGTCACCTTTCTTTGTAATTATTTCGAGAATATGATTACGACGAGGTCCCGATCGTTCTCGAAATGTTTCTTAACACTTAACGATTTTCTATGTTTTCGCCTGACTGTCGAATAATTCGGTGCTCGACACGTCTTCTTCCTTCACTTGCCTGTCCATAAGTACCAATTTTTTTCTACGTGTGTACCAAAAAACTTCAAGATACGATAGTTCTTAAAAGCATTTACCTAAATAGTCAGTTTTTAACATTCTTTCTTATGAAGCTGTCTGTTTGGGTCATGGTTTTAGAATCGCCCAAACACTTCAATTCATTGGCGAGATAAATAAATGTCCATAACAAAAGTCGCAAAAAATACGCCTAAGATTCATTAAAATACTTTTTATAACAAGTTACCTCTTGAATAAGCGCTTTAATTAGATGTTTCGACGTCGAATGTCTGTGTATTTTACCTTTTTTCGAAGATAAAGTCAAGATAAAAATGGCAAAATTAGGGTTAAATTTTTGCTGAAAATGAAAGAAATCACTTTTCTGTGTATAACGGAGCAGTTCTCAGTATATTTATTTACTTTTAAGCTCCACTACAAACTTGCAAAAGCACAGCAAAAAGGCAAAATTTAACCTACGATTATGATAAAACTAATAATCTTCTGCCTGCTCCGTTTCAAATTTTTCCATTCATTGTTTCTGCTCTATAGATAGGAAATGTTTGCGAATCTCTCGCATACGGCGTAACAGCGAAAACGGGCCCCTATTTTCGTCGTAGTAAAACAATTTACGACCTCATGAGTTCATTACTTAACTTAAGGGCACAAAACCTATCACATTTGCAAAACATTATTTCTTAAACTGAATTCGCTCCTCCTTTCCCAAAAATAATGCGTTATCTCATACTTACACTTACCTCAATATCAAGAATGCAAAGTAAATGTTCCGTTTCCTGAACAGATATAATTATGTTTATGTCCTTCTATAGTACAACACGCATAAACAAGAAGTTTTGGTCCGTGGCGTTTAATAGCGTAGGACATTCGTTGGATATCAAAAAACGTTGGATGTGGCAATTACTGACTGACGTTTTCCCTCAATATATTTATCTGAACTGAACTCCTTTCTAGTAAACAGGATTTAGCGCCTCAAGTCTACTCAACTGATAAAATAAACAACCTCAAATTTGTGTTACGTCACCACCCCAAATTCTGGCCCTCACATTTCATGCGTTAGGCCAGCTACGATAAATAAATCCTGAGGGTAACTGCATGGTTCATTATAATTTGCTATAACGAGTCGTCTCAAACTTGACAAAACGTTTAGATATATCTTTGACAGCTGACATTCGTCGTAACTGGAGTCAAGAAACCTGTGGATGTTCGAATCACTCAAAGTTGGAATACCAGAGGGAATTGGAGGTCTGGAGAACTTAGGAAACCAGATAGGCCATTGAATAGGCTGGATAATTTTTTCTCCAACATTCCTTCCACCGCCACATAAATAAATCGCTACTGACGAGAGAAGTGACTGTGCCAGGCGTAAAGTGGGGGAGAATGTCGACGTGTGTACCTCACTTTGCCTTCCCACAAGTAACGTGATCCGGTGGCGAGTTTCAAGAGCAGTTGCGGATTCGCTATAAAGCCAAATCTACATGCACTAACTGCGTAACATATTTTAATTTATCGGATCCGGTATGGGTATCAGGTCTCGGGAAGGCCATTTTAAAAATATATGTTAACAATAATTTCTGAAGAAAACCATATTAGGCATTCAGCCTGTAGTCTGCCTCCACTCGACTTTTGGTGTGTCCAGGTTGCTCAACAGGCAATTATGTTTATCAATACAAGCGAACATCCGTGTCCCAGGAAGCAATTGAGAAGAAGAA